GTTAACGATTTGGAATAAGTTTCGAATCAATGAAACGCATTTGGAATGATGATTGATAAAAATATTGCAACTGTTTGGGAGGGACTGAAAAGGAGTAAAGCAGTTGGTGAGTTTAGATAAGGGAAACCAAGAGAAAATGGGATCGATCAGCGAGCGCGTTTGTCCAAAGGATCCCGGAGATGTAGGCGGCAATTGGAAGTTCGCTGGAACCGTTGGCGTATAAGTGCATAGTGGAGTATAGTAAGAGGCAGCAGGAAGAAAAATAGCTCGGTTATGATTACGGGTTACCGGTGGCGGGGGGTTGTTCCTGACCACGACCCTCTTTTACCGCTACTGCGGTGTGGCTGGTGTATTAATGCGATACACGATAGCCTGCTGGCTATTAAATAAAAAATATGAGAGCAAAATGGCTGCTTTCGCGGCGATACGTCACCGAGAGGCGTGATTTGTACCAAACCGCGGCTAAAAATCCCTCGATTCCGCCGCCACTGTTACAAACCGCCGTGAGGCGCACGATGAATTTAGCCCGCGGTATCCTATCGACATCGTAGCTAATGAACAGGTAGGGTTGTCGATCGTTGTCTGGGATGAGTTTAACGATAGGAGATCGTGTGAACTGTTTCGCCGAATCAGGTTCCAACGGGACCTGATCGACTCCTCGGGCAGGGGAGGGAAAACTTTGGGAAAGAGGATGGGGAGGTTAAAAAGCTACTCCGTGTTCAGGCTAAATCAACCTTGGGGCAAAGAAATCCTGTGCTCTGAAACTGAGCAACTGGTAGACTCTTAGCGCCAATCCTTCCGTCAGTTTCGAGTCGCCGAAGGGTTCTTGATATCCATTTGCAACGCCTCTAAGATCAACCTTGGGGCAAGGAAATCTTAAGCTGTGAAATTGAGCAACTGGTAGACTCCTAGAGCCAACGTTATCCAAAGTCACTGAAGGGTGACAATCTTTTCAAATTGTAGACTCGAGTTATTTGTTATGTTATTTGAAATAGAATAAATAGCTCTAATAATTCCTACTCCTTCGGGAGTAGCGGGCTACCAAAACGGATGGTAGTAAGGATTCGCTACATCGAGCGGACGGTAAACAACGAAGAACCGATACCGTGCGTAGACTCATTGATTCCATTAATCAGGGGAGCCTGATGGCCCGCTAATGAAAAAAGAAAAGGGACAAAATGGGGATCGGTGTTCCTTTTTCCCCGTGGCGCATCATTCACCGGTCGCGGTGTCAAGAAAAGTATGTTCGAGTTTCATAAAGGAAAGCTGAGAGGCGCGCTCTCGCGACGGGGGGCGCGTATCGTGCGTTTGCTCGGGGTGATAATTTGCAAGAGATGGCAGAAATGGATTGGCGAAGTATGTTCTTCTCGCCGATTGAAAAATCCCTCTATCCTCCCCCTCTCATCTCCCTTCCGCCGCGTGGCCGGCCGAACGGCGGTGTTTTATTGGTTTAACTCAGCGATTTCAACCTGTTCCAGGACGGGGCCCCGGCTGATTAATGCTGATACGGTCGTGCTCGCGACGATAAAAACGAGAAACCCGAGAAACCCGCTGCCCAATATTATTGTTAACGAACGAGGATGAATGGCGGGCCCGATGAAATCAACGTCAGGGTGCCCGGTTCCCTTGGAAAATATGGCGCCGACCGACGATAGGCAAACACCTAAACTTCGCGAAACGGTCGAAGTGTTACGTTTTCATCCACCGGGTGTCCCGTTTCGAACGAGACTCTTCGATGCAAGAAAAAGCTCACGAGGGCAGAAAACACTTGCAAACGAAATGCGACGAAAGATTAAATCTTGGCGTGATCGTTTAATTACAAGTATTAATAAGCAATCGTACGTCGAGATTTACTCCTTCGGATACGGGTCGCCTGACTCATCGAAAGGTACGAAAAGGAAGAGTAAGTCTAATGTACGCTGGTGCCCGCCGACAGATTTACAGTTTCACCGTCGGCGAAACGAATGCAATTTTCTGGCCGCAGAAACGCGCCCTGGAGTGTTGGAAAACGCGCGGTAACTGTCTCGCGCGAGGAAACCTTTGCAGGAGTAATGCATCCGCGGCACCGTCGAGAAAATCGTAAGTATTAAGCGGGAAAGTATCTCCTTGCACGCTATCCTATTCGCGAGCACCGCGATCGCTATCTGCGAAATTGCCTTAAATATTCCGGCGAAAGCGACCGAGGGGACTCGGTTTCGTTTCCGTAAATTATGCAACGATATTTCGTATTGTCACATCCGTGCACGCGTAAACGACGGAATCCTCGTTGGAAATCATTTAAACGAACAACGGGACGAGGAAACGCCGCTACTGTGCGAAGCTCGAAAGTTGTCGAGTAGGCAGAACGCGCGTACGATTGGCTGTAGTGGATAAAAGAAGATACAGTTAAGCAAGTACGGAGGAGCGATCGGTATGGAAGTGAATTGCTATCGTACTTACGAGCTCCTCATTGGCTTTGTTGGTTACGTCATCGACCACGCAGTATCGTGTCTAGAGTCTCAAACAAGTACTTCAATTGACGTTTCGACCCTCGGCTTTGAGTCGTCTTCAGTACACCTACAAACGTGATAATTAAATTTACAAAATTAATTATGCAAAGATTTACAAGCAAAAAGCTATAATAGAATACAAATGTTTGTGTAATTCTTCATCTTTACATAATTGATTTTGTACATTTAATCGAACACACGTTCGTAGGCGTTCCAACGACGATCCGATACCGATCTCTGTACTATTTTCGTTTCGATCTCGGTATAATTGTGGTCAAAGGAGGGGGTATAAAAATTCGATCGCTCAGCCGTAATTTTGAGAGTGCCTGGTGGTGGCGGTCGGCTTGTCATAAACCGGATTTACTGTCGGGCTTCGTAAACTTTATGAGGATCGGCAAAACGCCGTATAACGTGGGCATCGCGGTGGAAAGGGGCGGTCGAGGGGGTGAGGCGAGTGGTTGGAAGGCAGGCGTAGGAGGCCGAGGGAAGTCTCCTCGGAAGGACAGGTTCAAGGAACTCCGCGAATTATAGAAAATACGAGGCCCAGCTAAACGGTTAATTTCTGCTACCCCTGCGCGACTTCTGGCCACGCGGAGTTATTGAAAGTGCCCGGCGAAACTTTTATCGGATTCTGTTTCGTGCGGGGGGAGCGAGCGCGACATCTTCCCCCCGGACGTCTCATCGAATGCATTATCGTTATTCCGTTGTACTCCCGGTATTATTTAAGCAAACTGCGGGGAAGGCCCGCGGTTAATTGGAAGAACGAGTTACCGATGGAATAAAACCCGACTCCGGATACTCGTTTTCATAATCATAATGGGTTCTTGGTAATACGTTCGCAAGCGAATCGACTTTGGTTTGTTGGAGCTTGGAGAATCTGGACAGATGCGATATAAAGATGAACATTCTTAGAAAACAGTCTAGCTGATCCCTAAGTCTAATTACAAGTCCCTAAGTCTAACTAAGCGAAGTCTAGATCTCATTATCCTTCGGAAAAACCCTCGATCCAACACTAGCGACTAGTCTGGAGAGTCCCATATGCACGAACAGCGAGAAGACCTGACCCAGGAAAGACAAATTCTCATTACACAACAGAAAAACGTTTGACGAGTCGGCCTAACTGGACCGGAGCCATCACCGCGTGAAAGACGTCTGAGGCTGATGTATGAGTTCCAGACCTAACCCAGTGACGTCCGCCTCTTATTATCCTCAAAGAAAAGACACTCGAAGAGTCACCGGCGAAGGAGGTTCATCAAGTTCGCTGTCATCCGCCATCAACATCCACCATCGATCTCCGGGCGCCCCGAAAACGACGTCGCCGTCGAAGCCGTCGTAGCGTCCCGTCCGGGAATCAGCTCGTGGCACGAGCTACGTAACACAATTAACGAGCCGGCAATTAATAACCGGCGGTTATAGATGCTGGCAGGAATCGTTCGATCGCATGGAATCGCGGGCACCGCTTCGTACGCGAGAGCGTATCGTTCGCCCCCACTCTGCTCCACGGTTCCCCCCCACTCCCTACCCTTCGAACCCTCCCCTCCCTGGGTCGGTCTCACCCTCGCACTGTTTCTCCGGTGTGTGCAACTAAAACGCAGGAAAGGGAACGTAATAGCCTCGCATGATACACCGCCATTAATCCGTGTATATACCCTTCCATACTTTGGAGGAATAGACACCTCGTACGCCTTGGTTTCATAGCCGGTTCATCAGCCGGATATCTCTCCCCGCTCGCTCTCCTTCGGCTCTTCCTGTCTTTTCCTCTCACTCGCGATGATTTAATTTCGCCTGGTTCCCTTCGATGCTTTCGCCTCCTTTCGGTTCCAGCCTCTCACGATTCCCAAAACGAACGAGGATAGCTTCAGGGTTAGGAGACTGGGAGTTGTTGCTTGGGCTTCGTAGTCTATGGTGGTTGTTGGCGTCTATGCGATTTTTCTCCAAGGTTTGACCAAGATTTGACAAGACTCTGAGTAGCTTTGTAGCATTCCTTTGGGCATGGAGTCCAACTGTATGTCACCTGTTAGGATCGAACCCCAAATGCAGGGGAATCGTTGGAGGTAATTGTAGATTGATCGACTCCCGTTTGCAATTCCGTTCAATCGTAAATTGTCATTTGGTAGAACGTCCGTTTCCCTTTTTCCTGTACATTCATCTCCCATCTGTCCAACCACCCACTCGTACGACCATCGATCCATCATGGAACATGGGCAAGCGTACATCAGTAAATGAACAGACGTTGATAAAAAGGTGCTCCAATTCTGCGTTGCCCCACGAGCGTGTGATGTGTAACTGACCATCGCTCGAACAACTGTATTGCAGATCTTACATGATGAATGAGACGTTGATAACGAGGTAATGGTATGCTCGCGCCTCCCATTAAAAACCTATCTGCCGCGCGGCAATTTACGAATTTTCTGGCACGGTTTTTAAATACAGGGACCCCGTTGGTCCCAGCGGGCCCGATTACGCGTTTCGTCGAGAACCCCGACGATTGGTAATCTTTTAGTCACTCACCTGCAGGAACATTTCGCCGTCGAGATGATGATGGTCGTACGCAGCGAACGCGGCCAACTCCCTCGCTCTATAGTGCGAATCGTGGTGCGAATTTTCTTCCTTGTCTTTGTGCATCACCACTGCAACATAAAGTTACGAGATAAATTGCACCGAGTGACAAATCATTGCCGAGGAAACGGGCTTTGACGTTGAGCTTGGACCAGTGGTTCTCAAAGTAAGGCCCAAATACTCAGAGGGCACCTTAAATACTTTTTTCAGTGGAAGAGGGCGCCTTTAAAAAAACTGTTGAAACCACTAATCCCTGTTATATTATTTGTCAGTGTTTTGAGTCATCCGGTTTAACGATTAATTGCACTGCTATTACGGAGACACGATTTATGGACGAAATGATTCTTGTTACGGTCCGAACCGAAGGACATTCTTTGTAGTTTGTTTCAGTAGATGGAATCTGATTCTACGCGAGTGTATTATTATTTAATGACGCGATTTGGTCCCGTACGTTTTGCAATTATGTCGGGCATATTAAGCAGAAGGAGGGCAGGTGTAACGGCACCAGATCGACGGATTATTGTAGGGCTTAAGAGGAAGTGTCGCTCACATCCTGTCACGTATTGCCGGATCTCCTCGAACGTTCTCCATTAATCTCTTTCCGTCGTTTGATACTTTCGCCGTTCGGATGACGCCTTTTTTTCGTCCGGCAGGGATACGACGATGGGATTACAGGGGCCGCGATAAGGACGACGCTTTGACGGTGGAAACCTTCCATTCCTCTCATGTGGAAGAATTCGATTTGAGGTGATAAAGAAGGGCGCGAAGGTGTTTGGGCCCTGTACCGAGTTCAGGTGTATTTATTTCATTCAAACTCGATTCACCGACTGGATAACGAAGGCTGTTTAAGACTGTGCTTAACGTCAATGGCGTCGAACACGATGGAGGAGTATACAGGGTGGGCCCCGAGAAATAGAGTAACGAATTTTAACAAAATACTCGGCTGGAAATTAGTCAAATTTAGATTGTAATGTTCTCGTTCGACTCAAGATCAAGTACAAATAACGCATCGTTGTTCGTACACGGATCCGAGTGAAAGACATCCCAGCTTGCGCATGCAGGATCGGGGTACACGATTTTCGTATCATTTACACGAAGAAACCGATCGCGGCCGGATAAAATACGATATTTCAGGAGTTTCAGACCGAGGTGAAGTGAAAGCACGGTATCACCGAGTGGCAGACTGTACGAATAAGAACAAGACCACCTGCGAGTTTCGAGCAGAGACGATGGAAGGAGCCGACGATGCGTTTCGAAAGTGAACAACCTCTCGAGGAGCATTTAGCGTCGAAGGGCATCGATGCGTGCATGAAAGATGTGCGACTTCGCCGACGGCCGGTCATAAAAAGCTGCACGCAATACTCTCTGTCAAGCACGCGTGCGCCACGCGACCCTCCGGGCCAGTTTTCATCGGCAAAGTCATCAGAGGAACGCGGTTATTCTCCTTCGTGTCCTTAAGAGGATCTATTAAGCCGCTTTAAAGCACATTCGAAGACACTCTGGTACCCTTTTTACCTTAGCCATTCAGTCAGTGAGACGTATTTCTGTCCGTCGAAGGTCAGTGCGCCAAAGAAGTCTCGATACCGCTGAAATCACCCTGACCTATCTTCCCTACGTCTGTTCCAGAAAAAGATGCATCGATACTTGTATCGATAGTCTCGGTACTCTAGATCCTAGACACCTAACCAGCCATTACAAAAGCTATTCTTGAACGTTCACCTGGATATACATCATATGAAATAGATAACTTCCCAGCTTGCACATCCACGAGCGGTTAAGCGAAACTACCGAGCAGTGCTTCTAGAGCCCAACTAGATACTAGCCTCGTCCGTTCAAGGAATCCTGAAGTCAACCACGGTTCTAGGGTGCATTTTCATGAATAGTTGAGCGAGACCGAGTATCGTTCCGAATCTGGAGTCTCCGGGTCTCTAAATAGACCTGTAAACAGAAGGTGGCCTCCGATTGTCGTCCCCGTGTGAAACGTTCCCGCTTTGCACAGGCGTAGTAACAGGTTGCATCGAACGGGGAAGAAGATCGCTGGTCGATTCGAAAGCCCAACGAGAAACGTCTCGAAGGTGGAACGAGGCCCGACGACGCGTGCAAGAAGGATGAGCAAGACGGAGGTTGTTCACTCGTAAATAGTCGCACGCAATGTCGTGGAGCGGCCGCGTTCTGCCACGCGACCCTCTGGGACAGGATCCCATTAGGATGGCCGTCGGGATAACGGCGTACCGCAGGATGCGAACCTCCGGGCTGCATGTGCTTTATTTACCGTCACGACAATTCGATTTCCAATGCCCTTCGACGGGCCTCCCCCCCTCGTGGCAGCGGCTAACGACCGTGGCTAATGCTTCCCCAATCGATGACTTCTTGCTTCCGGGGGATCGTTGTCTATCTGATCAACCGAGTGCCCGGCCAAAACGTTTACGAACGATCTTACGATTCGAGGTGGACGGAACGAGTGGAACCGAGTGCGAGCAAAAGGGTTTGGCCTGACTAATCGGTAAAAGAGGGTAGCGGCGCGTTTACGACCGTTTTTGTTTCAATTTCTGCCAGAGTTGCACAACTTTACACCTTAGTTACACCGAGGAAAGTAACTCGTAAATAACAACAAAGAGAAGCAAAGTGGCCGGCGATACAGATCGGACCTTACCGCCTATCCGGAACACCGTGAACACGTAGTTCAGCTATCGCGATGCACCCGTGAGATCGGCAATAATAATTGCGTTTCCTCCCGCAAGGTCAACCGTAGGGACAGACCGGAAGCGACGGAATGAAAAGTGGGCGGGGGCCAATAGGAATGCGCGAACGAGAGTAATGGCGAACGCCGAGCACCGTAAACGTGTAAATCTATGCGCGTAAAAATGAATAAATTGGCGTCCGGGACTCGTGCTTCAGTTAACGATTCGCTGTTTTTAGACGCAACGCACGTTCCGAAGTCCAGATAGAATCTAGACTAACTAATTAACCCTTTCGAACCATTAATCCTTTCGGTGTTCGAGTACACCCGTTGTTAATAACGAGGTTCCGTAAACGCTGAAATCTGCTCGCAGCCTCGCGAAATACGCTCTCCGAACACTTTGACTCACCCATACCGCCTTTCGTACGCTGTATGCATTGTTAATTAGTCGAAGAGATAGAGATCGATGCCAAGAGGAATGGAAACTACCGAGAACTTCCGCTCAATTACCCCGTTTCTAACAGGCTCGTCATATTTAGACGTCCCCAGAGTCCAAATAACGACTCCGTCGGACACCCTCTTCCGCCGCGTTCCCTCCTCGGGATGACTTTGCGTTTTACGCATCCTGACTGGTCCGGGCCGGGCTAAGTGAATGGTTAAGTAAGTGATTATCTCCTTGAGCGTATAATCGATCGATGATTAATGGGATCGGCGTTGTCGGTTGCGGTCCCAATTAGGAACCGTCCTCGCCGATCAGCGGGACGATACGCGTGCCGCCGCTTGATTGTTTCGATCCACGTGGCCCTGGACAGTGGGCGCGGTGAGTCGATTTTTAATTTCGACCATCAGCCGCCAAATCTACTTTAGACACTTGGGCTACACGATGTACGCCAATTTCGTGAACGGATAAACGAGATATACAGCGATCCCCCGTTAATGTTCGCCCACGTGAACGTTATCGAGGGAGGTACTATTAATTTGATCGCGTTGCAGGCGAAAGTGAGAAACACCGAGCATGAAATCACCCTAACAATGCTCTAAGCCTAGGTTCTAGAGATCCTACACGTGTATTGATTGCAATTGCGTCACTAGATACCAGAAATTAGCCTAGTCAAGCGATGTTCTGAGACTAGAGTGTCCAGATCCAGTGACTCTGACTAGACGCTAGCCTTCGTGGAACGGATCAGGAGGTTTCCAGCGAGCAATTATAAGGTTCGACCCTCAGATCCGCGGCAAGGATAAATAATGCCCGGTGAATATGGCGGAGGAACGGCAGCAAGAGGTCACGTCACAAGAGAACGCCGGTGCAGGTAATTGGTTCCCGTGGGGAGGAAGAGTACGGCGATAATTGGCCGGGATAAGAGATTACGAGGTTCCACAGGGCGCGGATCGTCGGTTTTTCAGAAAGCGTCCGGGATCGAAAAATGCCGCGGACTGACCTGACGAAAAGCACTTCGTCTCGCTTATCGTGGAAGCCATTCGTTTCCGCGACACAATCGGCTCGCCAAGGAACAAGTATATTAGTGCGCGTGCCTGGTGCTTAATCTTTCATATTCGTTTGACTCGGCAGGAATCTCGGGGTGAACCGACTGTTCTCCTCGTTGGCGTGCGATTAGCCCCTTGTGTCGCCGGCGAAGCGACGCGAAGCCGGCCGAGCATCGAAAAAACCGGCCCGGTGATCGATCACGTGGGCTTCCCAGTGAATTTAATGTTCGTAGACTCAACGTAATTGATGGACACTTATTTGTTCCACACTTTTTAACGCTAAACATCCAAAATGCAGGCTTCGCGAGGCCTCCGGGAGATTTTCAGCGACGATATACAAAACGTTGGCGCTGCTGTCGCCCGATAACCTCAAAATGCAATACCTGACCTAACAAATACGAAGACGAATCTTTGTCACCGAACAATCAGCTACACTAGCTTTTAGCAATTGTATCTTAGAGCACCTCTGAAGTACAGAACCTTTCGTCTAATACCGAGGAGCCAATTATTTTGATCAAAAGTTGAGTGGAAGCCACATCAAGTAACCCTCCATTGTTCATAACGTGGTTCTTTTTCTTAGCAATTTGCTGTTACCTGGCATCGCTGTAAGCTTGAACCGGGCGGCTTGAACCGTGAACGACAAATCGACGAGCAACTCGGAGAAATCGTGGCCGCGTATTCCCGCGGCCGATCTGATATCGCGACCAGAGCCCAGACGCCGGCAGTTTTTATCGAGGCGACGAGCAGCGAGGAAGAGAGTAGTTTCGCAAGCGCTCTTTAGTGCTCGACGCCAAGATACACAAGCGCGACCCCGGTCTGTATGTATATGCATGTACAGTGACCGTATAAAGTAATCCGTCAGACAGAAGTGGGGTGATAATGCATGAGTGCGGTTGCCCCGCCCTA